AAACCAGGAGCCAGAATGATCAAGAAATTGATCGTGGGCCCCTCAAATATAAGAAAAAGAAGAAGTTTCGAGACAAATGTAAAACTACATCGTTGAACTTTGATGCGTGGCTTTAGGCTATCAACTTAGTATTCTACTGGAAAGGGTGCACAGTGAACTGCCTGTGTGGGTGTTTAAGGAACTCAATATTGAGATCCTACGTGCAAACGTGTGCAAGACACACGTTCTTGGTTGGCGTAATTTTTAATAACATAGGCAACAGTAACTGGAAATAAGATGAAACTTATGAGGCATTGGGTTCTAAATAAAAGACTTTTAAGGGCAATAAACAAGCAGATACATTATTAAAAACCAGAACTGCCCAGCCACTATCACTATCAGCCGGTATCAAAAATTGGTTTAAGGATCACTTTAGGACAATCTGGTACTATCAATGTTCGATATAGCATTGGCCTTCCCAGAAATTCGTATTTGTGATTGAAAAAGACAGCAACAGAGCTTGGTACATCAGATGACGTGTGGTAACTGCCATCTTAATGTTTACTTTAACAGACCATACTATAAAAAAGTCCTAAAATGTTGAAAATAATCAATGCACATAGAAATGTTCGTACACTTGACAAATTCATGCCCCAAATGTAAACTATTCGAGACCAAGGGGGCATGCGCGTCCAACGTTAACAAAATATATTTTTACAGCCAAGCGGATGGAGTGTTTTACCCGAGTGTTAGCCGGGATGCTAGACGGCGTGGGTTTGGACCTCACCAAAATATGAATAACAGTGGATCGACTAAATAATAGATATGTGAATAAATTAGAAGCTTGATGTGTGAATAAATTAGAAGCTTGATGTGTGAATACATTACAAGCTTGATGTGTGAATAAATTAGAAGCTTGATGTGTGAATAAATTAGAAGCTTGATGTGTGAATAAATTAGAAGCTTGATGTGTGAATAAATTAGAAGCTTGATGTGTGAATAAATTAGAAGCTTGGTGTGTGAATAAATTAGAAGCTTGATGTGTGAATGAATTAGAAGCTTGATGTGTGAATAAATTAGAAGCTTGATGTATGAATAAATTAGAAGCTTGATGTGTGAATAGATTTAATGCGGGATGCTTGTCTGAGTTAATTAATGAATTATATGATGGATGTGTGAATAAATTAGGAATGAGTTTGTGAGTAAATTAGAATCTTAATGAGTGAATAAATTAGAAACTGGATTTTTAAATAAATAAATTAGCAGCTGGATGTATCAATACGTTAGAAGCTGCATGTATCAATAAGTTAGCAGCTGGATGTATCAATAAGTTAGCAGCTGCATGTATCAATAAGTTAGCAGCTGGATGTATCAATAAGTTAGCAGCTTGATGTATCAATAAGTTAGCAGCTGGATGTATCAATAAGTTAGCAGCTGAATGTATCAATAAGTTAGCAGCTGGATGTATCAATAAGTTAGAAGCTTGATGTATCAATAAGTTAGCAGCTGGATGTATCAATAAGTTAGCAGCTGAATGTATCAATAAGTTAGCAGCTGGATGTATCAATAAGTTAGCAGCTAAATGTATCAATAAGTTAGCAGCTGGATGTATCAATAAGTTAGCAGCTGGATGTATCAATAAGTTAACAGCTGAATGTATCAATAAGTTAGCAGCTGGATGTATCAATAAGTTAGCAGCTAAATGTATCAATAAGTTAGCAGCTGGATGTATCAATAAGTTAGCAGCTGGATGTATCAATAAGTTAGCAGCTGGATGTATCAATAAGTTAGCAGCTGGATGTATCAATAAGTTAGCAGCTGGACGTATCAATAAGTTAGAAGCTGGATGTATCAAAAAGTTAGCAGCTGGATGTATCAATAAGTTAGCAGCTGCATGTATCAATAAGTTGGCAGCTGGATGTGTTACTAAATTAAAAGCTGGTTGTGTAAATAACTTACAATGTTGATGCTTGAATAAACTTGAAGCTAGACGTGTGAATAAATTAGAAACTGGGTGTGTAAATATCAGTCGGAACGGGGCAGACTTCAGTCGTAAGAAAATATCCAAAAGCAAAAATATTACCAAAAAAACAACAACAGAAAACTATTTATAAATTGTAATCAGACCAATTGTGACATACGCAAGTGAAACTTGGACCCTAACAAAAATAGCAGAAAACCTAATAAACACATGGGAGAGAAAAGGTCTCAGGAAATTATATGGACCAACAAAGGAGGAATGTGGACCATCGGAAAATGAGAACCAAACATGAACTGTACAGTCCATATCAGGCTCTCAAGCTAGTAGAAGAAATTAAAAAAGGGCAGGCGACCCTGGGCAGGACACTTGGAGAGAATGTCAAACGTCAGTGGAGTAAAGAGTGTGTATCGCCAAAACCCCAAAGGAAACGGCTCAAAGAGCAGATCTAGGCATAGATGAATGGATGACATGAAAAAATATCTACAAAAATTGGGAATCCAAGCATGGAAAGAAAGAAAATAGTTAGGTGTGAGTTGAAGGAAGTTGTGGCGCAGCTCAAAGCTCTACACAGGCTGTAGCGCTACAGGGATGAATGGACGGGTAGATGGATGGTTATGAACAAATCTCTAAGCAACGCCCTTTTTTTCTACACTTCTAATATTATTTTTGGGCGGACACTAAAAAAAATTTTTTTTAAATAATAATAATAATAAAAACCACAACATAGTGATTGATCAGGTCCTGTGACTGAAATATTACATCAAGAATTGGCGTCAGCGGGGCGAGTTTGCACTTTTTATGCCCCCCCCCAATCACCCCTCCCCGGCCCAACTATCAGGCCGCGGAGTGGCACGTTGGAGATGCCCCCTCGTCAGGACGGCCCCCACCCGGGCCCCTCACCCAAGTCCCCCACCCGGGCGCCGGGGCGCTCGACCAGGACCCCGCCTGGGGGCCGCCCCAACCAGCAGGCATCCGGTCGGTCCGACACTATGCGTTTAAATAGTGCACATGATCGACTTTCTTTAGGATTTGGGATGGAAAATTTAAGTCCTAATATCTTCCCCCACCCATCCCGGGAAAGTGTCGGATTCCACAGTGGGTTTCCACAACGCAACTAGCTCGCACTGTAGCTGGGACGAAACGGTTGCCTAGGGGCAGCTTTCTCAGGGCTGCATTATTTGAATCCTCGGCCACTTGTAATCATGATCCCTATCCTGGCTCTGCCTAAATTTTCCGGTTGTGAAAAATCACAACTGGCAACCCTGTGGGAGCTGTTTTATGTACGGCAGGTACCAAGCACATCCCTTGTCTGCCCACGCAGGACGCGCCCAGTAGTTTTGTCCCCCGGGTAACGCCGAGGGAGGTCCTGCCACTGAAAGTCTCACTTACATATGACCACGCCCTTAAATCACATGCTTATTTTCCTTTGCTAAGGTGTGTAAGACCTGGTACCAAGGCTTCCATATTCCAGCGCTGTGGAGAGCGCGATCTGTTGAATTCGGCGGGCGAAGATCAACTGGAGAAATCGAATATGACGCTTTAATGAAGTCTGAAACTGCATCATCAATGTCTAACGGTACAGTGACGTGGCTCCTATACACTTTTACAGTAATATACTAATTTAGTGGTACAACTAACATGGTTAAACTAATAAAATACCTTAAAATGGCTTCTAGTACAACTAAAATATTGGTACTAACTAGGCAATTATTTTGCTATTGCAAAAAACAAACTGGTCGGCTGTAAGCGTTGCCGTGGCCCTCGAGTCGTTGTGTATGCATCTAGCCAAGGTAATCGCATTCAAGTCACAAAACACTAAGTTCCATTTCTTCGGTACCGATACTTTACGTTTCACCATTTGTCATTACTCCATGTTTGTTAATTACACATTCCTAATGTATGTCTCATTAGGACAGATTGCGATCAAATTCGCTGAACAGTTCCAGACTTCTCTCCATCACATTGTGATTAACTTCGACCTAACCCATGGGCGAGACGCCAAAGAAATCGTCAAAGACTTCAAAGAGTTCTCTGAGTGTTTGGATGACGCCAAACTTAGAAGTATTTCTTTTGCCTATCTGGATGTAGACGATGACAGCGAGCAGATGCAGAAAGATTTAATAGACCCTCTAAAGAGATTAATCCAAAATCAGCACTCGCTCCGGGTAAACATAACATTCAATCTGTTACTTAACTTTGAGATAGCACCAAGATACATGGACACCTGTGATAGGCATTAGAATCGGAGAGAGTGGGTATAGTGCGTTTAGTAAATTGCGGTTGTAGCGTTATAGTTGTTGTTTTTTTTACTTGGAACCTCGGTTCCATGGACCCTTGTTGAAAATTTAAGTTTAATAACAAAAACAAAAGAAAAGCAAAAAAAAAAAAAAAAAAAAAAAAAAAAAAAAAAAAAAAAAAAAAAAAAAAAAAAAAATTTATTTAAAAAAAAAAAAAAAAAAAAAGTAAAAAAAAAAAAAAAAAAAAAAAAAACACATAAAAAAAGACATGTTAAAAAAATCTATTTTATTTTAAACATAAAGCCAGCTGTTCTTAACCTGTTGATCGCGACCCCTTTTGGGGTCGAACAACGATTTCACATGGGTCGCCTAAGACCATCGGAAAGCTAATATATTCAACATTTATGATGAAGCAACGAAAATAAGTTAATGTTTTGCTGTATCCACACGATTGGGAAATTTATTGAATGGTCGCGAAAATAGGAATGCTTAGAACCACTGTATTTCTGTTTATGTTTAAGTCTTCGAGGTAATATATGTTACTTATAATGCGATTCTTTTTATTCTTTTTTTTTTAAACATTCAAGTTTGAAGACAATGTCAACGGTTTCCAATATTTCGTTACTTTTATTCGATTTATTCTGATGTAATGCATAATTATGATAACTTTTATATTATTTTCTTCAGAAATTTGAAATAAATTCTTCATACTTTAATCTTGAGACTGGCCTGCAAATTTTAAACTGTTTATCAGAGGCCTCTGCAGCGACAATTGAAGACCTATCTCTAGATTGCTTTTTTCTAAATGGACTGTCTATTTATCGAGAGCTACGGGTGTTGACTGAGCTGCAGGTCATTGTCACATCACTTTAATATAGCTTTCACTTGAAGGTTTTATTTGTCTATGCTTTAAAAAATAATATAGAGATACAGTATTTTTTATCATGATATCTTATTTTTGTATCATGTTATTGTATCTTGGTTTATTTATATTGTTATATATTATTATTATAATATAAATATATTATTTATATTTATCTTTGCTACCTTATTACTTTTTCCTTTTTATCTTATTTTCAAATGTTTATTTTTTTATATTAGAATGGTTAAATTTTAACATCAACTTGTTATCTTACTTGGTTATCTTATTATTATTTATGTTATCTTTTTATGTTAACTTGGTTATCGTATTATTTTACCTAGGTTATCTTATTATTTTGTTGGTTTTCTTAAAATTTGTATCTTTTTTATCGTATAATTTTTTTTCTTGGTTATCATATAACTTTAATTTGTTATCTCATTATTTTATCTTTGTAAACCTTACAATTATATCCAGTTATCTGTTTTTTATCTTGGTTATCTTATTATTTTTTCTTGCTTATCTCATTATTTGTTCCTTGTTATCTTACTTGGTTATCTTATAATATTTTTTATCTTATTATTTTCGTCTTAGTTATCTTATTATTTGACAACTGTCTCGCTGTTTGTATATTATGTTTTAATCCAATTTTTTTTTTGTCAAATTCAAATTAAGCTACTTTAATTGGGTGTCATGCAGAATAATTCTTAAATTTGAGTGTGATGACCTGGCGAATCCGCTCCCCCCCCCCCTCAACCTCCCCTTTTTTCTTCCTTATTCCAGCAGAGACTTTTTCCAATTTATTGAATTGTTTTTTTTAAGTCTTAATTTTGAACTCTAGCCATGCTAATAGTTTTGTATATATTCTAACATTTTCAGAAATTCACAGGCATCTCTTGTATTGCCATGGATTACGATGTAATCTCTGAATTACTGATAAAAACTTGGGTCACGGGATGTCAAAACCTCTCGTTCATTTATCTTTATGCGGATGAATATGTGCATCGCAGTACGTTTGAGTGTTTGTTGGTTATTAATAATGTTAAGTTTCTAATTTTCTTGTCCCTTGATGCGTCATTGAGATTGTTTTCATCTAATACGATAATCGGTTAGCCGCACATTGTTTCGTTTGTCATAATGTAGGCCATATGGATCGGATTTGGATTTTATCTGCTCATTTAGAATCAGATGCTGCTAAATGAGTGAATGTCTAAGATATGCCATTTTTTTAAATTGTCTAATATCACGATAACGATTGAAATGTTACTATTGTGTCCGCTGAGATATGCGCCGCGAGGCACCGTCTTACTGTGTAGAGAAATTACGGTGTAAATTAGTTATTGGTGACGTAATATTGCAACTGTAACCTGCACAAAAAAAACAAAAAAACAAGTGTATATTTCATCAATTTACACACCACTAACATGGTTCTGTTATGCGCCCCACTTAATCAGCACAGGTTATAACTTGTGAGACGTGGGAGTCACTGGTCAACAGCCATCCAAAATTGTTAGTTGAGTTCCGAGCCTTTAGTTTCCAAGACTCTAAGGAAATGCCATATATGTTGTCACCGGAGATTCCCCTTTTCAAGTTATCCTGGGACAGATATAAAGAAGGTACAACCGAATCTCAGGTAGGACACAGTCTCAGATTGAAGATCGTTGAGATTGTGCCATTAATTTTTTAAAGTAAAAGTTGCAATAATATCGTACGACTGCAACGGGCGCAAAGCAAAAGCTATTTGTTAGTCAAAATTTCGTTGAATCAGAAATTAATTGAAATGAGTGATAACGTTTTAAGAGTAGTATTTTTTGTGGCGTTTTTGGGGGAACAATTTCTGAAATAATTTTTTAAAAATCTCTACTAGATAGAGCCCACCAAGCATTGGCGACAGTAAGTCGTCAACTTCCCATCTAGTAAAGTTACTTGACAAAACGTGGACTCAAGTAACGCACATTTCAAAGAAATCCCCATATTTGCTACACCCCTTCCCCAAATGATACGTCACTGCACACTTCATTTTATTTCACGCCCATAAACTATATTAATATTCTCATGTCCCAACCACTTTTAAACCGAATATTTTGTAAGCAATACTTAAATTGAGACGAGTTCATTTCCGATAGAAAATATTACGCACCAAACGCAATTTCATTATTAAAATATATTATATATTTAACATATAGCGTAGTTATCGGGAATTATATTTTGCGCGCTAGTGAACTCATCATTTTACCAAACTCTGGCGTATCTATGTAAGGCCTGCGTGGTGGTGTTTGCCCTACTTCTTGCGAATTATATTTATAGATTTGCATTGCCCTTTTTGACTGGACATTTTATTGCCATGGTACACATTATATAACAAGGCAAATTTGTTGTTTCAAAACAAAGGTCTGCGAACGAGCTTTAAATGAAGCAAAATTTGTAAAATTCGAACTTTTGAAATTCTGTATGATAAAATATAAATAGAGAGACTTAATTTTTTCATTGATAAAATATATCTGCTTTGCAATGAAAAGCGTTTTGCCTTTGTATAAAGACAATAATATATTTCTATTTTATTCTGAAGAAATTCACTTTTCTCATGATTTCAAGCATTTAAAGGTTCCATCAAATAATAATTTAGAAAAGAAACTGAAAAAAGTACCAACATTAGCGTTAAAAAAATGCATGCAATACGATCCCGGCCTCTATCCATGGAAGTACAATATTTAACACGAGGGACCCTCAACTAATATAAAGAAACTTTGAAAATTCGCTTTAGATATTTATCTACAGGTATTTTAGATACGTCACTCCTTTAAAAGACAAATTATGCTATCTAATTTACTGCGACTTCGGCGGGACATATTAATATAACTTCGGGATACGTGGTGTCTGAGGGAAATAGTAGATGAAGATAACTTTGGAATACGTGGTGTCTTAGGGAAATAGTAGATGAAGATAACTTTGGAATACGTGGTGTCTTAGGGAAATAGTAGATGAAGATAACTTTGGAATAGGTGGTGTCTTAGGGAAATAGTAGATGAAGATAACTTTGGAATAGGTGGTGTCTGAGGTAAATAGTAGATGAAGATAACTTTGGAATACGTGGTGTCTGAGGGAAATAGTAGATGAAGATAACTTTGGAATACGTGGTGTCTGAGGGAAATAGTAGATGAAGAGAAGATAACTTTGGAATACGTGGTGTCTGAGGGAAATAGTAGATCAAGATAACTTTGGAATAGGCGGTGACACACTCTTTTGAAGCTGGGGCTCCAATATTTATAATATTAAAGGCGATACTTGCCCAATGTAAATCCCCCCCCCCAACCCCCAAAAAGAAAACATTTGCAGTTGATGAACTTTAACCTTTTATAATGATTATATGTTACCTTGAACATGTAATTTAAGGATTATTATGGGGCCCACGTCCATTAATAATTATATGAAACCCCTAAAGTCCAGACTGTGATTCTAAAGTTGAATCCAAAAAATTTTGGTCACAGCTGGGTATATCAGTTAGTATATATATTTATCAGCTATATTCATCCACATAATTTACCATGGACCAAGTAAACATCTATATTTATTCTCTTCAGCTGACGAGAACACTTAATCATGTTGCCAAATACCATAGAACAATAAAGCACCTGTCTTTGGGGTTTTCAGGCCAATTTCCGAATTTGGATACAACAGCAGTCCAGAACATACTGTCTAAATGCACACATCTGTAAGTTCGTTTTGTATGTGTTTGCGGCATTAGAGACTAATGATTATCGCTGTAAGGAATACGTCCCCAAATCTAAACTGACCTAGTCACCCTTATCCTATTCCTTCCCATATCACATGGTGTTCATATTTCTCAAAGATTCAAGGACGGTGCGAATTTCTAATAAGTATCCCTAAGGACTCTCATCTTCGTTGTTGGGTTTTTATTAATATTATTATTATGATTACAATTGGTTTTATATAGCGTGGTACCCAAGCCTAGGACTGGGTTCACCATGCTGTACATACAATTAAACAAACATAGTCATGAACTAAAAAAAATTAATTAACCTACGTTAATAAATAAAACAAAACAAATGTACATTTACGACTATTTACATGTCAAGCCATGGCCGACACTCCGGAGAATAATTTTAAGGTCAGAGGGGGAATCAGTCAGGATAGTAGAGTTTAAAAAGATGTGTTTTAAGTGCAGTTTTGAAGGCTGTGATGGTCGGTACATTGCGGATGTGTAATGAAAGAGAATTCGATTGCTTAGGGGCACAGAAAGAAAAAGATCGTTCACCGTATGTTTTATCACGTATAGCGGACGAACAGCATTGAACATATCCTGGAATATATTTTTAAACTGTAGTATTCACCGAATTAAGCGAGAAACCATTTGATTTTCATTATTGATATGCGCCATGCAAGAAGATGAATGACACGAAAATTTATGAATACCGAGTTTGTTAAAATACGGGAAAGTCTTGAATATATACTGATATGAAGATATAAATTCAATGCGGGAATATAGGGTAAGTCTACGGGAATAATCCAAACTGTAAAATCTGGAGTTGAGGTCCCGAAGTCGATCTGATGCCGATACCAAAGTCATTCTGGCAACTACTGTGACGCAGTTAGGGCAAAATTTTATTTACAATTGTCATTACCCTGGATGCTCTGGCTGCGTAGAGAGTGGGGATCTGCTGCATTGGTCTCCATAAGACACCGCACAGGCTAAGTAGCTGCACTGGTGACGTCATTTCCCGAGGTGAAGAACTTTTTTTTTTGTGAGGCAAAGAAAGCAAATACAATGATGACCCAGATGGCGATGTAGGTTATTGGATTTCTCGTGTTCCCAAAGACTGCCAACACAATAAAGGGGTTATTTGGCAGGTCTTGGCGTCCGTTGAATGGGGGAAACCTCGCAGATACTGCTCACAAAAATTTTAACCAGAACAAAAGCCAGTGGTGGATATTGAGAGATAGAATATAAGTGAAAGAGATACATAATGAGAGAGAGAGAGAGAGAGAGAGAGAGAGAGAGAGAGAGAGAGGTAGACAACTAATAAAATCAGAAAGTAAAGATGCCGTTGATGAACACTTTTGTAATTGTGACACTAATAGAAATTTGAAGGCAAAGATGTACTTTATGAACAAGTTTGTGATTGTGATACCCAGTGAGATCTAAAGACAAATATGTAGTTTATAAACAATTTTTTGACAGTGATATCTAAATGCAAAGATGTAGTTCATGAATAATTTTTTATATTGACACCTTTTGGATCTGAAGGCAAAGATGTAACACATGAACAGTTTGTAAGTGGGGCAACTAGTGAGATCTGAAGGAAAATATAGTATATGAACAAGTTTGTGATTTGTGAAATCTAGTAGGATATAAAGACAAGTAAGCAGTATATTAACAGGCTTGTGATTGTGAAACAGAGGCTTTCAATTGGTGAAAAGTGACGGTGTCCATTTCTGATGTCAAATTGTGTGTTTTTGCATCGGCAACGGTGTAACATGTTGTGAAAATTTATCCACGGATTTGTCATGTTTCAGATTTTACAATTTATTTTATCTGAACGCCTTTCATCTTCTTGATTCTCAATGCATTGAATGATAAAAAGTGTGTTTTTTTTCAAATTAAAACAAAAACACAAAATAATTTTTTATTTAAAAAAAACCAACATATCTTCAAAATTTATACATTTTATTGATTTTTTTTTTTTTTTTTTTTTTTTTTTTTGACACGAGGAAAGTTATACAAGATTTCGAGAGTTGCCCACCTTTAGTAAATTTTAAACTTGTGATTCGCATTATAAAATGAATTTCTTTAACTGCGAATTACTTTTTAGCCACATAAACAATAATAGATCATTGACCCTTCTGTGACAGCTCACGTGTTGAAAAGAATTCATAATTTAAGTAAGCTTTTGTGGTGCCCCCCCCCCTATTCCATGGTGCCCTAAACATTTGCTTATTTTGCCTAATGTTTCATCAATACCTTACCACCGCTTCCAAACAGAGTTCCGTGTAACTTGCTTATATCATAATTAGGTATCATATTGTTGTGCACACAACATAATAGATGTGGTTTATTAAAATTATTGTGTGACTCATGTGAAATGGGGTTTTAAATTCTGGCGAGCAGTGTGAGCAGTGTGAGCAGTGTGAGCAGTGTGACTTTGCCAAATCTTTCTTTCCTTGTTTTAATCGTGTCATTAATTGCAAATTAACTTTTCGACTCAAAGACCCTGTAACTGGATTTGTTTGTTTCTTTCCTTTCAGACTGCCATTCCAATGTAAGAATTACACTCGCTCTATGACAAATGAAAACAAATGGGAACTGTCTCAACTGTTCTAACGAAACGGCACCTAACCTTTTCATCAGTTGATCCACACTTTAACATTTCTTATGCAATCCTTTATCTTTTTCGATTCACAAAAAGGAGCCTCGCCCACAATTCTATAACATCAAAAAAAAGTTAATTGTTTAGGCTTTCCTTTGCGTGAAACTCTGGCTTATTATGCTACAGCATCATGAATTGGCCAATAAAACTTTTCATTAACATCTAATAATAGAGTTAACATTAAAGTTTTTTTAGGACAACCTAGAATTCAATCCTACACTTTGTTTAAATACAATTTTTATTGTGTATGAATTCTTTATTTACATAATAGCCTGAGAGGTTTATCGAATATCGGTACAAGATTAACTCTATTGATACAATATTCACTGTACATGGTAAAACATTAACTTCATGGGTTGCTCATAAATCACTACAAAATTTTAACCAAAAAAGAAAAATATATAATGATAGGATTAATAAATTTGCTTTATACTTTCAAGATTATAAACTTGAGATTGTCATTCGGAGGAGTAGATGACCACTAGCTATTACTTTTATCAAGAATGATTGACTACAAATAGTTCAAAATATAGCTTGACACGTCAGTTGAAAAACAACATAAAATTTTTAAAATATTGTTTTAATATACTCAATAAATGATAGTGTTTGAAATATATATATATATATATATATATATATATATATATATATATATATATATATATATATATATATATATATATATTGTGCTATTGAAATATTGTAATTTAAAAGTTTAGCAGCAATTTTATTTGAAAACAAACTTTAGATAATTTAGAAATATATTTCTGTGACCGATTGATTATTCACAATGGCTGTGAGATATGTTTAAATAGCCTGTGTATAGAAATAACATTTTTATTGACTTAAATTTATTAATTAAAATGTCCATAATATAAATAAATTCAGCTTATCATATATTGCAAGGTTGGTTTTTTTTTGTTTTTTTTAACTTTAAGATTATTGGTGTAAGGATAACAGTTATAGTGACTTAAATTAACACCAAGTAATCATGGAACTAATTTTTTTTTTATTTTTTGCTGGCATCCGTCCGTCACAATATGACGATGGTGAAGACTTCGCAGGACGAAATCCACCACAAGGCCTGGGATTATTCTTCTAGGATTATAAGTTGGTTCCCAATAGCAAATCGCCTCTCACAACTCTTCTGGATAACCCATGGTAACATAATGTGGAGGATACAGCCTGGCACCAGTGGCGTCGCAGGAGTTGTCGGAATGTTTCAATGTTATCCGCCTACGGGGACACTATCTCCGGGTTTTGAATTCAGAGTTTCCTTCTCTTGGATGAGTTGCAATCCAAGGTTAACGGGTCTCATCCGCCCGGGGTGCCAGTGTTGATTTCCCTTGACTTGGCTTTGGCTGGAATTGAACTCTAGACCACGAACTTGAGCACCCAGCACCGAATTCATGTCTAAATATATATATATATAAGACTTCTTTCATCACTTAAGCTGTATAGATTGTTTCCTTAATAATTTTATTGCCAAGGCTGCAACGAACGATCATGTCATTGCTAGTTTACCACAAGTGAAGATCAAACAAGATCTAGACAAAAGGCCCAATTACGATGAAGTCATTGTAGCAGGGAGAGGATGAGAAAAAGTTGGGAAAAAAGTCGCAATGAAGATGAATACGGGTTAGTTTAACACAGGTGGAGATCAACTAATAGTTATACAGTGGTCCGAAAGACGATGAAGTCGTGACAGTAGTCCAGCAACACTCCTCAAGTAAAACCGCAGGACAGGATGCATGCCCTGTAAACATCTTCAGAGGCCCCCCCCCCCAATCTTGTCAAAAAGACTGACAGAGCTTTTTTGGGTTTATATGGAAAGTTGGTACTGACCCTCAGCGATGCAAGGATGGAAATATTATGCACTTATACAAGCGAAAGGACTGTGGGCTCAACTGTGTTAACTTTGATTCTATTTGTAATGAGTAGACATTATTTCAATTTGAGCCACAAATACGATAACACGAAGGCTGAAATTTTAATAGTTGTCGAAGTGTCAAGTTTCAGCTCGAAATGTCGACGGGAAGTCAGTCAATTAGACGTCCGAATATTGTACCCAACACACAACACCCGTATTTTTAAATGGATTCATATCTTTATATTTATATATTTATATTGTTTTTTATATATTTTGGTTAGAAACATACTTCTGACTTATTTCGCATTTACTTCGGAGATTTCCCCATTTTTTTTTAAAATACACCATTTTACACTATCGCTTTTTAAATCGTATCACTTAAATGAAATTCAAAAAATCCTTGACTGTATTTAATACACTCTAAATGCGGCCAGGTAAAAAAGAATCGATTCAAAATCCATTTTGTCCAAATTGTCTCTTTAGATTCTGTTTCAGCCGGTGAAAATAAAAGACAAAGCATATATTGATACTGTGTAAACAGCTGAATCGATTCATCTCATTGATTGAAAAAGGACCTTTGGCAGGCAATGCCATCCTGTAGGAAAAAGAAAAATAGTGTCGACCAGGGCAGATCGCGCATCCCGCGAACCCGTTCCAACAATAGTGTCCAAGAGGCGGCTATCAGACGAATACCTCTATCGTGGAGCAATATACCCGCCATCGCCTTATGTAAAATTTATCACAACTTGTCGGATGTGGACAGATCTTCATTGGCTCAGGTAAAGGTTGCTATATATTTTATTAGTCTGGGTAATTAGTACAACAAATGAAATGATATGAAATGATGGGGCGTCATTGCTGGCAGCATCGATAGGTGTATGTATGGTGGCTAAATGAATGGATTGAATGATGAACGAATGAGTGAATTATATGGTAGACGAATGAGTGGATTGAATAATAAACGAATGAGCCGATGGATGTTAGATAAATATATGATTTAAAGGTAGAAATCGACTTGTTGATGCATGAGAGAATCGGTGTATTATTTAAATGATGAAAGAAATGGTGAAAGGTTGATTCAATGTATGGTTAAATCAGTTTCTAAGGTCGTAAACTGTGGAAAAACTTGAATTTAAGGAATTAGAGAATATTAATCCAGGATCATACTTGGTTGGCGCCTATAAAATGACGTGGGCATCATTGAAAGGAACAGAGTAAAATGTTACGATGGAATGGTATTTGATTAAGGGCAATAACTAGCAGATACATTAGTAACAACAAGGAATTCCAAGCCACGGCCAAGAAAGCTAGTCTCTTTCTCGGTATGATAATTTTTGTAGCACACAATCGACTCCACTAGGGGTGTTCACTCCAACACATTGTCCCACACTACCACTCTTATTCATGTTGAAAAAAAGACAGCACCAAAGCTTGCTATGTTAGATGCGTACTGATCATTGACCTGTTTGAGGTTTCTAAACTAGGTTAATCACAAGCTTGTGGACACGAGTTTAATTCCCAGCTAAAGGTTCGTAGACAAGCAAGAACATCGCCACGGGTGGATGTGACTAGTTAGTTAACCTTACATTGCAACTCATCTAAGAGAAGGTAATAATCAAACGCTGAGATGTAAATCCGTAGAGAGTAGGACATTAACACAATTAAAATTCATACAACTTCTGTGACATGGAAATCATAAATAGCAAGGGAGAAAGTCAGACAACCGCTGGTCAGCTACTGCACCATGGACTATTTCCAGACGTCTGGACTAAATGCTTGCAACGGGATCAAATAACTAGCGTCTGAGAATGACGATTTCAGTAACTATATCCCAATTTAAATAAAAATACTCTCGTCAAGTTTTGCATTGGTCATCTTTGCATGCGAACGACGGACATCATTATGTCCTACAAGTTCTACTCACGCGTTAGACCCTAACAAATATCAAAGCTGTTGATATTGCAAAACGGGCCAAGAAAATCAGTTGTCCGATTCTAAAGTTTGTATCAAATGTATTTAATGTTAAAAGTTAAAGTGTGCAGGTGATCTAAACATTAACACAAAAATATATCTATTTGGCACAGAACAGCAGATGGAGTTTGTTGCCGACGTGTCAGCCAGTATTATAGAGAGCGTGAGCTAGCCCGCTACCCCCTCTTCCCCGATAATGAAATTGTATAAAGGGATCCACTAGTGAAATGATGACTGGGTAAATGAGATGTAGGATGTTTGAATGCATTTAACGATTGGTATAAAGATGAGTGAATGTGTGGGTAAATCGATGGATATAATTATAAGGAAGCATTGGTGGATATTTATTATTTTGTAAATATTACATGGGAAATGTCATGTTTTCAGCGATTTTTCATTTTTTAAAATCAAATTTAATCGACTACAGATTTTATGGAGTTCGTGTATCAAACAAAATGCATAAATAAATACTTTTTTTTCACTGTGGGGTGGGGTAATCATTACATTGATGCTGAAAATAGCTTCCATCTAACAATAGATAAGATTCTACTTTATGATACTTGTTTCTACTGTGCACCATCCTGAACACCTATTTTCATACTCTTTTTATAAACCTCATCAATTGGGTTATTCTCTCTAGTGTTATACACGATTCGTCACAGGAAGTCATTTACAAAACAAATAATGTACACCGGGACCGTTACTTTTGCTAAGACAAACCACCAGGCCAAGATTTAATAAGAGCCGCCTCTGAACACATCTCTTATTGGGATACACCCCTTTTAAATTTAGACATCATATTTTTCCCTTTTGCTAAGGTGTGCAAGGCCTACTGTGAAGTCTTCCGTACCCCATCACTGTGGAGGCAAAGGTTCATCGAATTCGACGGACCCAAAATCAAGGAACAAATTGAAATGGAGACCTTGTTTAAGTCTGAGACAGGACTTTGTCTGTCTAGCGGTACAGTAATAAAAAATAATGGCGCATACTAATATTGTTTAAATATAACTACAATAGTAACTACAGAAAATTGATGTTCTATAATACTAAGACGCCCATATATAGCGTACGATCACTGTGGTCAACCAATAACCCATTCCCCACTTTTCTTTCCTACGACCCCACATCCCTTACAACCGGGGGTGCCATTTCGGGGTCTTTTAAGTGGTGGTTTGGGGGGGGTTGGGACACCAAACTTCGTCGGCTTGTTAATTTGTTGTTTTTTTTTTAAACTGGAGGTGCCACAATATATATATATAGCAATTTAAATAAAACCTGCAAATTCATTTGGTTGGGGGGGGGGGGGAAGCCCCCCCCCTGCTCTCCCCAAGTGATGTTTTTTTTTTAAACTGGCGGGGCCACAATTTTTATATTTAGCAATTTAAATAAAACCTGCAAATTCATTTGGTTTGGGGGGGGGGGGAATGCCCCACCCTGCTCTACCCAAGTGACGTTTCTTCGGCACTGTCTTTACTCCAGTCATCGAAGTCTTATGTTTCTTTTTGTTTTTGTTTTTTTAAATTGCACCCGTATTTCTTTTCCATTAGGAAAATGTGGCATAAGCTTCGCGAAACGTTTCCGCAATTGTCTACAAGACTTGGACATATGCGTAAAAGCGATTTTGCCCGTCTCCAGAGAAGTCCTCAGTGATTTCAGGACCCTGTCGGAAAGTCTGGATGACGCCAATCTCACGACTTTAAAGATAAGCTATCCCGGGCTTCTCAGTTTAGAAAGCACGAGACGTCAACAGTTCATAAAACCCCTGAACAGATTACTGCGTCACCAGAACAACTTAAAGGTAAATAAAAAAAAATAATTTGTTCTTCCATCGGAAGCTCAAACTTTTCGATAACACCCACAATATAAATATTTCCATCGGTAAGGATTGGTTAAAAATCGAATTCCGGTTACTTCATTACGGTTGTTGGTTGTTTCTGCATTTTATTTTTCTATTTTAGTTTTATTTTTGTAATTTTGAAGGAGCTTTTCTCTCCGCATAATTGTCAAATAAGTTAAATGCTTCACAAGCGAAATAAATCGTTTATCCTTTTATGATTATTTTATAAAGAGTAAGGATGTTGTGGATAATCAAATCTACGTATCATATCGATTTTGATGCCTTTCAAAATATTTACATTCTGTTTTCTTTATATTTATTTTTTAAAATAATTTTTTTTTGTTTAAAAATTATTATACTTTAAACAGACAAGTTTTTTTTTTTTAAATATACTGATTACTAATATTTCGATACTTTTAGCCAAATTTCATTTCCTGTTCCCATGCAAAATTATGATGAAATCTTGACATTTCTAGAGTTTTGCTATATATTTCCCCTACCTTGACATTGGGATTGGACTGAATCTTCTAAGCTGTTTGGCCCAGTCGTCTGGGAATACTCTTGAGAAACTTGCGTTGAACAACTTATTTACGAGTATTGATGTTCACCGGGATGGACGCCTCGTTACAGAAATGAAGGTGATTGTCACGTCTCTTCAATATACGTCATTCAACTTTGCTGCTGGTGTTTGTCAATCATTTACAGAAAAAGTGAAGACGAGGATTGAGTTTAATGCTGCTTGTTGAAATAATTTATAATTAATATAGCTGAAACCAGGATTAAATTCAATCATAGCTTTTGAAATATATTAGAATTTTGTAACTCGGGTAGGTCTTTGGCTAGGTCCAAGGTGGAAAGGGGGGGGGGTGGCATTTGAATTTATTTAAATTTCTATGTACTTTGGCGTCTCCTGTAATAAACAAATTAACAAGCTGAACAAGTTTTGGTTGCCCCCCCCCTGAAATTAATTTAAATGACGTCCCTGGTATAAAGGTGACCCGGATTCTAAATTGACAGTTTTACATTTAGGCATGGATCTGAACAGTTATGATTGAATTCAATTTGAGTTATAGTTATATAATTATGTAAAATCTCATTTATTTATTTTTTTAAAAAATTAACGAATCAATTTTTTTTTAAATTTTCAAATGTATTATTGTTATTTCGTTAATGAAGCGCAAATGGTTCTCAAGCTTAAGTGAGATGGCCTAGAAAAGTTTTCCGTGTTGGATGATACATTGTAATGTTTAGATTGTTTCATATTTCCCACCTCTTCGGACTGTGAAATATTTATTTTTTTAAATTCCCTTCAACTATATCAGAAATTTAAGCACATCCGGTCTGTTGCTATGGACAACGCAATTTTATCAGAAGAACTAGTGGAAATCTGGGCCCAGGGGTATCCAACCCTTTCTTACCTTAAGCTTTGGGCTGCGCAAACAGGTAAATATTTGTTTTGTTGAAGATTTATTAATTGTGTTTCCTTTTTATAGTATACAAAAAAAAACTTCAGCTGTACGAGAGGTTTCTATACCAACGACAGGTTTCTATACCAACGACAGGTTTCTATACCAACGACAGGTTTGTTGTATAAGTGACGTTATCATCAAATACGCTCAGCTGCACGAAACAAATATATGACACATCTTTTCAATTTAGACATTAGTGACATTGTCCTATTGTACCCACACTCTATCAGGTCATGAGATAGCCAGCCAGGCTTGGAAGAATTTGAGAGCGACCAACCCAAGCCTGTTGGTGGAGATCTTGGTCCAGAAGTTCGAAAGCACTGCCCAAATGTTGCCTGCGTTGTCACCGGCAATGCCCGTGTGCAAGTTGTTGTGGGAGTCAGAAAGTGAAGATACATCGGATTTTCAGGTAACAATCAAATATTGGAATCCTTTTTTTCTTTGCATCGGGCAACTAAAAATTGAAATATCGGTTGTACTAACAACGTACACCTGAAAGGGAAACAATTCAAGAGCAACAATTTCATACGATAATAATAACATCCCCTAAATACGACTGAGTTTTATAAGCTTTTACTTTAAAAAATGTTCGAAATAAATTTGAGCCAGTTTTAACATAATGAAGAGAATGTTGTAAGTCCAAATAATTACAATGTCTGACCTGATGTCAGATTTTCTGAATTTTGGTTTTCTTTTTTGCATCGAAATTTTCGGTCACTTTTAAAACAAATTTTCTGAAGATTACTTGGCGGCTGGGTAAAAGGATGATCAAACGTTTTGTGTTGTGATAAGAGATGGGAAACTCGCAGATTTCTTAAACTTTTGTAAGGTAGGATTTTTGAGAAAATTGAGAAAGAGTTTCATAGAGATATTATTGTAAACTGTGTGAAATAGTTTGCTAAAGAGATTCAGGCGTATGAACTGTCAAATAACAGAATATTTCTGAGTGAAAAATGTTGCATTCTATGATTTTGAAGGAGCTGGTTGGCCGCCTTGCTGTTCTGGTGTCCAGAAAAGTAAACAGTGAAGCTTTCGTGGATGCCAACATGACGAAATGCCACTGACAAAGGGCGAAGGCACATTTTATTTGTTTTCATGAAAGTTGCATCACTGATGCCATTGAATTCATGTACATAGACAATAAAGATAACAACGTTGATCTCATTGAATTTGTGAGCTTAGAGACTACCGCTAGCTACAATAGAGATCATATAAACGTTTCCTTTTTTTGTAAAGCTCGGCAGGTGATTTTAACAGCTTACCATTCAGGCATCACACCATGGAGCTGACACCGGCCATGGAGCTCACACCGGCCATGGAGCTCACACCGGCCATGGAGCTAACACGGGCCATGGTGTTTGATGCACTGATGTGACAATCTCATGACATGAGGTTGATCCGGAGATTGGGTGAATATCGGGACTCAATCCACCAGTCTAGCTACAAAAATGGTATAGATGTAGACTTCATGGCGTCCAATATCGTTGACTTCTTTCGGCAAAGACTAACACAGTTTCAGACCAGAGATTGTGCAACTGTCGCTTCTGGTTCTCTGAGCAGTTTCCGGTGCTGATATATATTTAATTTGTATATATATATACATACTCATGGAGCTTACCGCCCACTTCTTCTTCTTCTTCTTATATTTGAGGGGCCCACGTTCAATTTGTTAATCATTCTGGCTCCTGGTTTAAATTCAGAGTTTGCCTTCTCTTAGATGGGTTGCCGTCCAAGGCTAACGAGTCCCATCCACTTGCTTGGGATGGCTTTACTAGGGATTGAGCTCCGGACCACCGGCTTTTTGGTTTGAGACAGTTTAGACCGCTCGGCCACCCAGCACTTCGATGGATTGTAAAGATTATTTATTTATTGTACTCCCCATTTGGACTCGCTTACTATGAACGGTCATCTTTAGGCCACTTCAACTCTTTTATAATGAAAATAAATCTCAAAGCCTATGCTAAAGTGAAATGCTTGCCATTTTTGCGTTCTTTGGCTCTACGGTGTCATCTGACTTGAGCGCGGCCATGGTAAAAGAAAAAAAATATGTTCAACGTCCACGTGCTGCCTTCGACCCCACACTTCCTCAGTTGCAGTTGTAAGTCATTATATCGCAACACATGAGGACACTTTTCATAGAATGGGATGCAAGAAACTTTTCCTTGTCATCAATCCACATACATGGAGCGTAGACTGTGACTACATTGCTGGCCATCAATTTGAAGGAGTTTGAAAGTCGCCAAAGATGCAGCCAAAACGATGTGTTATCTTGATTCCGACATTCAATGGCATCCTGATTTTTCAAGAGGAACAGAAACAGAACTTGCTTTAAGCTTTAAAGGGACACTGAACCCTTATATCTTGAGCACCAAAGAATGGTCAAATTTGCAACTTAACGTAGGTTATCTGAATCCCCATGAGCAGTCGCCGACCTTTAAACACCACAAGAAGAAAAAGCAAATAAAAAACAAACAAGTTAAAAACATAGTTATTTTTTTATCAAAATACAGGACTTTTGTTTTAGAATGAACCTAGAAGTAATTTGAATAAATTAGTTTTATATTGAGGTTTAAAAGCCAGGTAGAGCCCATATTATAAATCATCATAATTTGACAAGTGCACTACGTTGTCATGGGCAGCCATTCAGGGTCACTTGCATAATGGCTATGCTGTGGTACTACTTCAGCGTTTTATTCATACTAGTTTGCAGTTTGCAAAAACGATTAAACCATTGGTCAGGTAAAGCTTTCATTAAATAGTTATGTGCCAACGTTAAAATGTCAAAATAAGTAGTCCCTAAGTAGTATTTTAGTAATGAGGGGGTGCGTTGCCTTATAGTTATATAAACTATATTTTAGTCATTGCGCATGACACTGTCAGCAGAATGAGGTCACAATAGGCTTTGTTCAGAGTAGAAAATGGCAAAGAAACGCGTATGTTAAAAATTCCTAGCTCAAAAGGTACTAAAGCGAAAAATGTGAGTCTGGTTTCACTAGTTTTTTAAATTTGAAATTTGCTCTATAGAAAATGTATATATATTTTTTACTGAAGTACCTACATTTGTTATCGCACATTAGGTATATGAACACATTTCGAGCACAATGTTAATATATACCCGCAATATTCTTTTTCGTTTATCTCGATCATCAGTTATCTCGATGATTTTTTTTGCAAGCCCCTAGGCCGGCGATATAACCGGATTCTAGTATATTATAAAACTTGTTAAATTATGTCTCTTTTTTTTTTAGTTGACTAGTTTACTTCATCGAGTGGCCAGCTACGAGAAAACAATAAAATCTCTGTTCGTGAAGATTCACGGGGAGAATGTAACTCTTGATACTTTGTCAGTGCAGATCCTACTGTCCAACTGCAGGAAACTGTAAGTCAATATTATATGGTGAATGACATTATAAATGACTGCCTAACACTGTGAGCATTTAGGCACACACAACCCGAACCATTAATCCCCATGTGCAGACCTATTATTCTGCACATGAGTATCGAATTTTACTCCTTTCCATGGCTGAGGTAGATACTGGCCAGAGTCCTGATTCATCGGTTACAAATACAATTTGAACAGAGGTCCCTCCCTGAAAGCCTTTTGGATTCGTTTAGCGCGGAGCCACAGCCGTCATGGTATTTGCAGCACGCCAGCTCCAGCGAAAATGTCAAGTGCCACACTGCGGCCTATCCATCCCCTTGGTTAATCTGATCAAAATATTTGACTCGGTCATCAGTGATGCTCCGTGGAAGACAATAACTGAGAAGTATGGCTGCACGATAGATTTTTTTTTTCCAATAGTACGTCAACTCCTTGATGGTATGATGATATGAGTGTCACATTCTGGAGATGACTCTGTGGTTTTTACTTTAACTAGTTTCGTACAAGATGGATGTCTTCTAGCTCAAAAGCATTTTTAGCTTCGTATAATAATCAGCAATGCTGACTGATGTTTTCTGGACAATAACGACAGCATACCTTAATCTTAGGAGAAGGAAAGCTGTTGCAAAAATTAAAGAAACGTTATTCGAGACCAACTGTTTGCTGATGACTGTGCCCTAAATGTAAATTCGGAACGGAAAATGCAGGAAATACGTTATCAAACTTGCAATACGAACAACGGAGATTTTTGGCATCAGTCGGCTCCGAGGAAGGACTCCGTAGAACCTGAAATATCAGTAAATGAGAGAATCTACAAGCAGTAGAAAAATTCACATATTAGGGCAACACACGCTTCATGTCATCAACAATACAGGATGAGGTCAATGCTAAAATTTTAAAACAAACGTTGCATGTGTAAGTCTACACAGGAATGTGTGGGAGCGAAGGTGTATTTTCATTCAGCTCTAAGGCAATCGTTTTAATATCACGAATGTAATGCTAGTGAGAAATGGACATCTGTGTGTTGCCTGCTCATGCTTAAAGAAAATCCTCCTAATTTATTCGAGAACACACCACACGGTCAAAACAAAAACAAAATATGTGTACTTAGAAGGTATTTAAAAACACAAACACTTTATTTCTTTGAGTGGCATTGCAACGCATGCCGGGTACTCGCTGGTGTTTAATATGTTTTGTTTAAATGCATTTAGATATATTGCGATTTAAAAAGCTTTTAAATACGCTTCGTGGGTGTTTGGCCATGTATTGTTTTGGTAAAAAGAAATTAGGTGGGTCTGAAAAATTATAAGATTATGTAGTAAACGAGAAATACTTTACTTGATCCCGGGAGAATTATTCGCAGTATGCCACTGAATGAGATGTTAGTTTCACGAAACTAGCAAATTTTCGAATTCTGTAACTCATTTTTATAAAGTGTTATGTATTACATTTTTTTATACATGAGAAAATATCACCAGATGTTATCGAGATAATAATGTCAGGCACCGTGCGATAATTTCTACCTGATATGGCGAAAAATCATCATTATTACTTATTTTAAAAATAAGTTTTATATTATGATATTTATGTTTCTCAAATCATTAAATGATTTAATAAGCATTTTTTGCTAGATATTATATGCCTACCCTTCCCCTTTTCGCGCCCCTAAACTACAATTTATTTTTATCCAAACATGACCTTAAATTATTAAATCTAAAAGAGAACTAAATAAATCATTATTAGCGCTAAAGGAGTTTATTGACGGTTGAATTCAACGCTTGACAAATACTTTAGATCTCATGTGTTTTTAAATTGTAAAATGATGGGCAAACCCTATTACTTTTCGTGACCTTAAAAAAAAATATTTAAAATAATGTGTCAATTAAAATGTTAAATTTACAAACAAAAACTCTCTATCATTCATTTAGACTGATACCTTCATTTTAAATTTCAGACTGCCATTCAAATGTAAGAATTTCACCTATCCTTCGACAGAGAGCGACACTTGGATTCTCTCACAAGACAGCGGTTCGCGCCCACAAGAAGACATATAACCATCATCAGTTGGTCCGCTCATTAGAGTTTCTTATGTTATCATTTAATTTTGGCGATTCATTAAAGAAGCATAACCAAGAAACTACAACCTCGGAATGTTTTATAGGATATTCAATAAGTATTTGGGCTCTTGTCCCATTAAGACACACACACAGATCTTGTAAATTGTAGATACTCAATGAAAGAAATGTGAGCGAATTTATGATGTAACATGAAATATTGACCAATTTTTAGCACCGTCGAGTTCAATATCTCCTGCGCTCAGGAGCCCCTCACAACCTGGGAATTTCAGATAACTCATAGAAAGTTTGGGATTTGACTCCAGGTAAATCTGCTTCAGCTGCCATTAGTAGACTCTTAACTTTAAGAAAAAAATGAGGCATATCAATGTTTTATTTAGATAGCAGACATTTAGCTTGATCAACATGAGACACATCTGTTATCTATATAATAGACTCTTAGCTTGAATAGCATGAGACATATATGAGATTTAGACAGTGGACTCTTAGCCTTGATTAACTTGAAATTTATATATTATTATGATAGTAGACTATAGCTTGAACAACATGAGACATGTTTGCTATCTATCCTTGATGGCTTTTGAATAGATCTAAGATTTCAGAATAAAAACAATCAATACTCTCAAACATAGCCCTCTTGTTTTACTTTATTGTTGATGGACTCGCCACGTCTTTTGACCATTCCCCTGGCATTTGTCTGTTTTTGAACCTTGGTCATTTCTCTACCCGAATTTCATTAATGTGCTTGGTTTTGATCATTACTTTGTTTCAGCTTTTTACTTTTTTGGTCTTTCACAATTCATGGTATCTTCGATAACTTTATTTTAATTTCTACGCTCATTTTCAGATATTGCTATGTACAACAGTTTCTTTATATGTATATCAGCTCAAAGTTCAAGTTGGCAGAGAAAGGTAAAACACTGACAGTAAGGGAATTTTTTTTACCTTCGGGGTAAAACACAAAGTCCAGTCCCACCTCACATGAAAATAAAAACAACAACTTTAATTTACGTGATTTTACTGAGCATAATGGGTTTCCATACAGCTAAACCATTACAAATGCACCAGGCAATACAGAAGTAATAAAACATGACATCAGAGTAACAGATAGTACTCCACTTTAGTTCAAGCCAAATCTAAATACCTTGGCAATACAGAAATGCTGTAGAAGATGAAAGAAAGAAAGAGACACATTTTTGGTAAAATGACTTCATCAGCAGTTCAAACTTGCAAACTTTTTCTCCTTTAATTAAAGAAGAAAAGAAGAAACTTTGTCAAATACAAAGGACCTTATCAATGAAATAGCAAACTCATTATATTTTTTCATGCAAACGTAACAGGAGGTTTTCGGCGAATCAAGAATGATGGAAGAGGAAGCTAAACATTTCCCAAAATTGCTAGCACGCGATGGCTTTTCATGAGTTCAATGTTAAGCACTAATGAAAAGAACTACTACATCTGTGAAAAAATGATCAACGTGATTTTAAACAAGGCAACAAACGTTAGAAACTATGTTGAGGGCATACGTAAGTTCACTAAAGACCGGACTACACATCTAGCAACCCTAGAAACATTATTTTATATTGCTAAAAGAATAATATGGTCTCACTATGTCACAAAAAAATACAACTTAGTCTACAAAGATTTGATTTGTTAGAACTTGTGGAAATAATCTAATCAAATCCATTGAGGAAGCGGCTAAGAAAATATTGAATTTATCAATACCAGTGAACAAGAAACAAGTAGGAGCACTGATAGGACTCAGCAATTTCTACTGGCAGTTCATACCGAACTTTGCTCAGAGTTTTTACATCCTCTAGTTTAAAAGATTCGAAAAAAATGTTCAGAAGAATAAAGAATTTACTGCGTTGGTAAGACATTCTATGTATTTGGTACAATATTCACTATTTATTGGTACAAGATTCACTACATTGGTACACGATTCACTACATTGGTACACGATTCACTGTATTGATACATTATTTACCCCATATGGTAAAACATGCACTGCATGAATAGATCATACACCACTACTAAGTTTTAACAAGAAGAGAATCGATAATGCTAGGATTACTAAATTTGTTTTAAAGGTCCAAGATTAAAAACTTGAGATTGTCATTTAAAGGAGTAGAGGATCACTAGCCGTGCCCTTTATCAGGAATGATTGATTACAAATAGATTACATTATAAATTATACTTTAGATCATTTAGAAATATAATTATGTGACGCATTGATGTATCACAATGGTAATAAATAATAATGATAAAGTTTATTTGAAAAACACGCTTCATCCCCAAAAGCTCGAAGCGCGGTACAAAGTCAACCATATTAAAAATAGAAATAAAAACAATCTAAAATTTACCACATTTAAAAAAAAAACAGTAGTCTACCACAGTTGGAGATCAACTAAAAGTAAGACACATGGGCCAATGAAGATGACGTCTGGAGGCCAGCCCACCAAACCTCCCCAGGGCAAGATGCAAGCGTGGTTGAAATCTTCAAAGGAGGGACCCCGTCTTGACAAAATGTCCGAGTTTATTTGGAAAGATGGTTCAGACGCTTAGCAAGGCAAGGATGCATATGTAATGCACATATGCATGAAAAAGGACAATAGGCTAAACTGTGACAACTTTGACTCTCTTTGTTATGAGTAGACATTACTTTAAATTTTGTACAAATGCATCATAACGTGATGGCTGAAATCTAAAAGAATGTGCTGTAAGCGGCAAAAAAATGTCCAAGTGTCAAGTTTCAGCTCAAAAGTTTGACGGGAAGCCAGGCAATTAGCCGTTTAAAGATTGCATACTAACGCACAAGAGCTAAGTTAATATTAATATTAATAAAGATTATTTGAAAATCACGATTCATCCCCAAAGGCTCGAAGGGCGATACGTTCTACATTGAAATACAAAATGCAACATTACAAAAACTACATACGAGAATGCCCATTCTAAGACATTCACACCTTGCAAAAATAGATAACACAGGCCAATATATACTTCTACAAGATAATAGCTAGATAAACAATATCACCCCAGCAGTTAGTATAAAGTATTTTTTTTAAAAATTAAATACTTTCATATATATATATGTATAAATATTTATTTATTTATTTATGTATTATTTATTTTGATTAGCAATATATTTCTGACTATTTCGCGTTTACTTCGGGAATTTCAATATATATATATATATATTTGTTTAAATACACAATTTTGCATTATCACTTTTAAAATCTTAAAACTTACAGGAAATTCTAAAACCCATTTTTTCGCTCTTGGATACAATCTAAACGCGGTCAGGTAAAAAAAAAAATCAATTTGTCAAAATTGTCTTTCTATATTTCCTTTCAGCCCAGGCAAATAAAAGTAAAGAAAGATATTGATACTTAGTAATTGATTCATCTCCCTGCGTGGAACGGACCTTGGCAGTTAGAAGGCAATGCCACCTTGTAGGAAAAAGAAAAAATGTGTCGACCAGGTCGGACAGTGCGTACCGCTAACCCCTTCCAACAATAGTGTCCACCACAAGGCGGCTATCAGACGAAAACCTTTCTCGTGGAGCAATATACCCGCCATCGCCTTATGCAAAATTTTTCATAGCTTGTCTGATGTGGACAGAGTTTCTTTGGCTCAGGTAAGGACTGTTATATATTATTAATCTATCAATAAATAATGGCTGCAGTTTTATCAGTGTATTGGTCGGGGTAATGGATCTGTAGGTTACTGTCTAATTGATACAACAAATGAAATGATGGAGTACCATTACAGGCAGCACCGATAGATGTATGGGTGATAGCTGAATCAATGGATAGAATGATGAACGAATGAGTGAATTACATGATAGACGAATGAGTGGATTGAATAATAAACGAATGAGCCGAAGGATGTTACATAAATAGATAATTTTAAGGTAGAAATCGACTCGTCGATGCATGAAAAATTCGGTGTATCATTTAATTAATGAATATAATGATGAAGGGATGATTGAATGTATGTTTCAATCAGCCTCAACGGCCGTAAACTGTGGACGAACTTAAATTTGAGGAATTGGGGAATAATAATTCAGGATCATCTGTGGTTTGCGCCATTATAAATGACATTTTCACCATCAAATGGAACGGAGTAAAATGTTACGATATATTACAAAACATAGTATGTGTTTAAGGACGATAACTAGCAGATACATTAGTAACAACAGGGAATTCAAAGCCACGGCCAAGAAAGCTAGTCTCTTTCTCGGTATAATAAATTTTTGTAGCACGCAATTGACTTCACTAGGCATGTTCACTCCAACATATTATCCTACACAACAACTCTTATTCGTGTTGAAAAAGACAGCACCAAAGCTTGTTAGGTGAGATGCTTAGTGATAACTGACTAGTTCGAGCTGTCTAAACAGGGTTAATCCCAAGCTTGTGGACAGGAATTTAATTCCCAGCTAAGGCTTCATAGACAAGCAAGAACATCGCCACGGGTAGATGTGACTAGTTAACCTAACATTGCAACTCATCTGAGAGAAGGTAATAATCAAACGTGGAGAAGCAGATCCGTATGAAGTAGGACATTAACACAATTAAAAAATCGTACAACTTCTGCGACGTGGAACTCAAAAATAGCACAGCGAGAAAGAGAAAACCCTGCTGGTCATCTACTGAATCATTGACTATTTCCAGACGTCTTGACTAAATCTTGCAATGGGATCAACTAGTCAATAACTAGCGTCTGAGGCTGACGAATTGAGCCACCATACCCCATTTTAAATAAAAAGTACGCTCGTCCAGTTTTGCATTGGTCATCTTTGCATGCTAACGAAGAACATCATTAAGTCCTACAAGTTCTACTCACGCCCTAGACCTGAAATCATATCAAAGCTGTCGGTATTGCAAAACGGTCCCAAGAAAGAGTTGTCCACTTCTAAACTCATGCATTGAACGTTGGAAGGCAAAGGGTGCAGGTGATCTAAACATTAATAATAAATATATATTTGGCACAGCCAAGCAGATAGAGTTTGTTGCCAACGTGTCATAGTATTATAGAAAGCGTGAGCTCGTCCCCCCCCCCTTTTTCCCCCCAGATAAGGAATAAGTATTAATGGATCAATTAGTTGAATTATCACTGGATGAATGACAGGTTAAGATGTGTGAATACATTTAACGATGGGTTTAAAGGTGAGTGAAGGCATTAATAAATAAAGCATTGGTGGACATTTATTTTGTATTATTCCATACAAGTGTAAGCCGATCGAGTTTTCATTTTATTTTT